GCTCTGTCCAGCCCGGAGCCGGCCGAGCGCGGCCCTGACACCGTGGTGGCGGTTCGGCCCCCCAACGGCGAGGAAAGACAGCCTGTGCCCCAAGCCCAGGGCCTGCCCTCCGGTCACGGCGACCGCGGGCCACAAACACACCGCGTGTGCAGGCCACTCTCTCCAGAAGAAACGGAATTTATTTTCAAAAAAGACCGCAGGCGCACTAGGGCCTCACGTCCAGGCGGCGTCTCAGTGGGGACGACCGAGACCGCCTGCCTTCACGCATCTGACGGTCTCGGCTCGAGGGCGGCGCAGAAGAAGGAGGAGGCGTGGGAACTCCCCGAAGAGCCGGCGCCGCTCCGTGGTTGACATCGACCTGTGAGCCAGGAGGTCAGGGTTCGATTCCGGTCAAGGGCACGTGCCCTGGTTGTGGGCTCCATGGGGGGGGGGGCATGCAGGAGGCAGCTGATCAATGATTCTCTCTCATCATTGATGTCTCTCTCTCCCTCTCCGTTCCTCTCTGAAATCAATCAATCAATATATATATATTTAAAGGATTTTAAGAAAAAAAGAGCAGGGGGGCCCTCGGGGAATGGACATTGTCAGAGGATGCAGACGGAGGCCCCGCCCACACCCCTGCCCGCCCGCTGCCACCTGCCTGAACACACCCCACAGATCCCCCTGGAAGCAGGTCAGTCCCAGGGCGGGGGCCACAGAGGAGGCAGCACTTTTACAAACACCTTTAGTTACTCAACCGGACAGGCCGTCGCCCGGCAACCCGCGGAGCATTGTGACCGCGGCCGCTCGCTCACGTCATCCAAGGGCCTGTGACCTCACTGCTCACGTCATCAAAGGGCCTGTGACCTCACAGCACGGAAGGCTCAGCCCCAGGAGCTGGGGAGGGGGACAGAGAGACCCAGAGCCGGAGCTCAGAGCACCCATCCTCCTGGGGCGCCTCCTCCGCCTCTAACCATGGTGAGGGTGCCCCCGGGGAGGGACGTCTGATGGAGGTCCCTGAGACACGCTGCAGAGGGCCCATCCTACCCACTCTGTGGCACTTCCTCAGCTCCGCCATGAGGGGCCGTGAGCACCATGGGGATGGGGTGGCCGGTCCGAGGGGAACACCAGAAGCCACAGTGGCAACGTCCCGTTCCCTAGTAGCCACGTTGCGAGCGGTGGAGAGAAGCAGGTGAATTAATTGGGAGCCACTGACCACCAGCTCCTGCGTTGAGCGTCTGCCCCCAGTGGTCAGTGCAGGTCATGGTGACTGGTTGTTCCGCCATTCGGTCGATTTGCATATTAGCCTTTTATTACATAAAGGCTATTGATTGGTTGATTTCAGAGAGGAAGGGAGAGGGAGAGAGAGAAACACCAATGATGAGAGAGAATCATGGATCAGCTGCCTCCTGCACGCCCCCCACTGGGGATCGAGCCCACCACCCGGCCTGTGCTCTGACCGGCATTCATCTGTGACCCCCTGGTTCAGGGTTGATGCTAAACCCCTGAGCCGCACCGGCCGGGCCCTGCAGCTGCTCTATGCAGTGAGCTGGGCGTTGTGAGGGGCGCTCAGTGCCCAGAGGAGGCTGCAGGCTGAGCGTCCGGTGGCCCTGGTCGGGCGGACAGTGTAACTCACGCCCTCTCCCCGCTCCTCCCCCAGATGAGAAGGGGCTCCAAGAGGAAACTCCTGCTGCTGGTCTCCCTGGCCCTCTCGCTCCTGTGGGCAGGACGCCACCTCAGGTAAACGCGGCAGGAGAGGCGGCTGCAGGGAGACAGTGGGGGGACGGCTGGGAGGGCGCCGAGCTCAGGGTCTAGGGCAGGGCCTGGTCTGCCAGGTCGGGAGCGCACGTGGCTGCGGTTTGTGCGGAGCCGGCTGACCACAGGCGGCTGGGGCTGGATGGGAAACAGCTGGGCGGGCGGGGCAGGGATGGGGCTGAGGGCCGGCCTCGGAGAGGAGCCGGGAGTGGACAGCACGTGGCCCTGGCCGGGATCCAGCTGTGACCCCTGGTTCAGAGGTGGACGCTGAGCTCCTGGGCCCCACCGGCCGGCCGGGCTGGACACTTCTGATAACGTGGGGACGGACGCCCTCAGACCCAGTTCTCGTCTTTACCGAATGTCCAGGTGATGGAGGGCGGTGCCTACGGAGCGTGACGGCTACATAATTAACTGAAAGGCACAGTAACACTCCACCTCCCCGTAGACCAGTGGTTCTCACCCTGGGCTGCACATTGGAATCACCTGGGCATCTTTTAAATCCTGACTTCTGGGCCTCGTCCTCCGGAAATTCTGTGTCTTTGTTACGGGGTGGGGCCACAGCATTAGTAACAAAGGAACAGAATTTCCGGAGGGTGAGGCCCGGAAATCAGGATTTTCAAGATGCCCAGGTGACTCTAATGTGCAGCCACGGTTGAGAACCACTGACGTAGACGCACAGTCAAGGCGCTCCTGGGCGATGAGGCGTGAGCTGAACCTGCATGTGGTCCGGACACACACTCTCTAACGGCTGTTGGTCGGGGTCTAATCCTCCCCACCACGTGCCCCCTGGCCCCTCGCCCTCCCCCCGGCCGTCACCCGCTCCCCTAACCCGTCCCTGACCACCGGCTCCCTCCGGGCCCGGTGGGC